TAGGTCAGCAGAATCACTGATATGAAATACACAGTGGTGTGTCTCCTAGAAAGAGGTGGGAAAATGCCACTCTATTTCAGTTACAGCAAGACAAATCAGGTTGCCAAGTTTCAGACTGACGTGAAATGTAGTCTGAGGGAAATTACCTCACCTAAAGCCACCAGCCCCCTACAGAATCTGTGTGGTGCAGGGCTTACAGCTAAGATCTCTTCAGGAAAGAAAACTCCAGGTTCTGTTTTGTTTTTAGTTTTGAAGTTATTTACATGTGCTTAGTGAATGCTGATGAGACTATTCAAAGATGGCAGAAAAGACATAAAAGTTATAACAGATTGAGGCTATACATAAAACTGCACATACTCATTATAAGTCATGGTAGCCTATTATTAGAAAATAGAAAGGAGTAATTTACTGAAACAGATTATCTTTGATATTCAGTGTTGAATGCTAAACAAGACTGAGAGGTGGTCAAATACTGAATGAGAAGAGGCAGACAAATAGACCAAAAGAAATAATCATAGTATCCATATATGACTTCTTCTGAAGGTTGATTAATTCAAAAAACTAGTTCAGCAAAATTTAAAACAAAACCTCCCAAAATTGGTGTATTTGCCGTATAATAAATGTATCTTTTTATGTTGCTCATGCCTTTCCTAGTGTTTACTAATGCTGTTAATATGTCCTACAACCAGAAGATTTTCATTTTTATTACAAAAGATGAATCTATTTCCATAAGAAATCTGTGCAAAAGCAGGTATGATCTTAAGGGATGGCAGAAAATATTTTTTTATTCTCTGCAGTTGCAAGATAAAAATACTTTCACTGCAGCTAATGCTGCAACAGGGCTTTTCCCAGTGATTGTAACCATTGCAATGAAAACAAGATTTCCTCTACATTTGGCAAGATTGAACGTGTGAGAATTCATTCTGTCTCAGAGAGATGTCATGCTTCTCTACAGGTTGTACCAGAGTGTCTCTCTGCAGACATGAAATTCTGACCTCTTGACTGAGGAGCTGCTGAGTGGACAGCAGATGTGAAGGGCTTGCTCTGGTCTGACAGTTCATCTCAGTACATAGGTTATCTTTGCACAGGACAGCACAGTGCTGGAGTGACCAGTAACTTGTATTTCAGGTTTACTGAAAGCATAGATGCACCACAAATCCCCATAAGAAAAATCCCCCATCTTTATAGGCATTTTATTTTTTTGTTGCTTTTCATCACTCGTTGCTAATGTTCCATTTCTGGCTGGCACACTGAGGAAGAAATGTGATCATTAAGTTAATACCCAGTTTAACTGTAGCAGTCTGCATTTAAATTGAAGCAAAAATATGCATAAATAGCTTCAAGTTTACCTCTTTATTCCCTCTTGTTATATGTAATAGCTTGATCATTTTATTTCTGTATAGTAATTACTTTCATGCTAATACATTTTTGTGCATACAGTAATAATATTTTACTTGTTTCTTTGTCACTGAAAATTATCCTGGAGTTTGCAGAGCAGACAAAATAGTTTCATCCTGTCACTAATCTGTGACTAATCTCAGTGTTGTCTCCACTTTTGCCTTACCAATTTTGGCTCATCACTAGAATTGGAGCTTAGTAACAATATATGCCAAAAAATAGTTGACTGCATGTGCCTGCTTTAAATAAAATGAAATATCTTTCTGTTATGGAAAGGTGAGAGGCTTCTGTGTGAAGCTGTTCAGAATCATGTCTCAAAGCAGTAAAAATGTCATCACTGGGACAGGGCTACAGCTTTACTCAAAGGCTTAATAACGTTAACATATTCTTTCCCAAGTGGTTTGCATCACAGGAGCTCAGAAAATAATGAAAAATAATTAATTATCCTTCAGCATAGCTGCTGCCAGGTAGGCCAAACAGTTATCCACAATATTAGAAGAGAAATTCAGACACAAACAGGTTGGTGATTTGTGAGGATCACAGTGGTGAAGGTGTGAAGTAGGAATGCTGCCTTGTGGCCTCTTCAGAGGCTTCTATTTTCAGAGTATCCTCACACCTGTGAGGATATTTTAGGATTTCTAGGAAATGTGGTGTTTTATTTGTGCCTTTTCCCTAAGAGCCTGCTTTAAAAATGCCTGTTCTTCAGAGGGGGCCAGAGTGGGTGGTATAGTGCAGCTGTGTTGGGTTTGTGAGACCTGTGGACTCACCTATAGAAAGGAAATTGGCAGCTGTCGAAGGAGCTCACTTAGTCTTTACCTCATAGGAAGGGCGGTTTAGAAAAGCTGGAGATGCGATGCAAAATTGGTATATCCTTAATAGTGCACAGGTGAACGTGCACAAAGCATGAATTGACTCAGTTCCGTAGACCATACCTACCCCTCTAGGAGTGGCTTCAGCACCACGGTGTCTCCATATGCAGTTCTCTATATCCCCACTTTCAAATTTCTTCCCATTTCAACTGCTCGATCTGGTTTTTCCTCTCAGAGTTCCCTTGATCTGACTCTTGCCAATCCTCCTTCCAGTTTGAGAATTTCCTGAGAATTAATCACCTTACAGTATGTTCACAGCACATGTACTGCTATGAAGATAAACTAAGCCACTGCTTATACCTTGTATTATTCTAGCTACATCTCTAAAGTTTGCAGCCAAGTACCAAACTAGTATCTTATGGTTTCTATATTATTCCCCTCCACTTTCAGACTTGTGGTACCTTGCTGACATTTTTGATTCTTTTGCAAACATTGCATAATTTTGGATATTTTTGAAAAATTTTCTCTTGTTCAAGTACACGTTGCGCGGGATGTGGAGGAGAATCTGTGACTGTTCTGCAAGAGGTCAGCCTAGACTATTGCTTGTCACGCTAATTCTTGTGTTGGCTTTAAGCACATACTTGGGGCATCAGGCTCGTTCATGATTCCCCCTCCAGAATTATTGAAATCACAGTGTGATAGCTGGTCTGATCCAAATGGTAGCACTGGGGCACTTATACTAGAGTTGCAGAGTGGAAATATGATAGTTACTTCACCCCCCCTCAGCTTTCTGAGCTTTTGAGAATTAATTTTAACATGTATGTGTAATATATTTGTGGCTTATCTTTCTAATTACCAGTATTATTGACTTTAGTTCCTGGTAGGATCAGAATAACTTCCTATCTCCTGCTTCATATTTTTGGAAAATATATTATGCTGCAAGTAGTTAAAATAAGTGCACAACCCTGAAAAGCAGCAAGAGGCAAAACTATACTTACAGAATCTTTGTTCTGGTTGCTTTTGACTGATGTTTGATAAACATCTGTTGAATATTGAATTACAATTCTGCCCATCTGTTAGTGGTAGCACAGCACCGTAGGTACTCTGCTAAGTTCGAGGCTTGCTATGATTCCTCATTCCCACACACCCAGATAAGGGTGTGAGGGGAGGGAAAAAGCAGGGCTGGATACAGTCCCTAAGGCATTTTCAGTGGTGTTCAGCCTCCCTCAAAAAGATCTAGAATTTCTAAGGTTTTTAGGTTCTGTTTCAACATTTAAGTTAGTAGCTGGGATTTCAGAAGATTCATGTGCTTTACACTGTGAAGGTAGCCATTGATGACAGAGCTGGAACACTTTTTAGGGCATTTAGGTTATACCTCAACTAAATACACCGCAACAAACACAATAATTTCTAATAGGAAAATCCATCTTCTCCAGGCAGCAGTTGTGTGTTCAGACATAAAAGATAGCCTTACTTTACAAACCGGTTTTGCAATTTGAGTTTTAAGTACCTAACTACTGAAAAATGGTTGTTCTTTCATGTCAACCTGTGTCAATTTTTTTCCTCAAGATTCTGTTATCTTGAAAAAAACAGTGATTTTGAATATTTATTTGCCCACTTTCTTCATTAGGAAGGGAAGCCAAAACCTGCAGACAATACTAAGTTCATGCAGGGGCTGTGTTTAAGATATTTTTTATTTCATTCCTACTCCAAGTTTCTGTCAGAAATTCTTCTCAGCTGTTTGTGTTTAGTCTCTCATGAGGAACTTAAGAATTTTTCTCTTCCTTATTAATTGAACTGCTTTTTTTCTGATGCTTTTTGAATCCTGTTTTCTGCATAATCATGCCGAGTACATCTTGACCTCTCCATTTTCTTTTTTTAAACCAAAACAGCTGAAAGAGGCCCGCTTTCAGGAATATGTCTCCATTTTGGGTACCTGCAAAACATGCAGGCACTCTGTTTTTTCAGTCTCTAATTTCTTGTCCAAAATGAAGGCCAAGTATAGTGAACCTTTGGAATAAGGTTCTCCAGAGGCCAAGTTGCTCTTTCCCAAATACACCTCCTATAAACTGGTTCCTTCTGCCTTCAGTGAACACAGTTCATAGCCCTGTTCCTCTCTGGACTAGAAGAAGTAGTACATCAATTATAGAGAAATAATAATAGAAGGACCCTGGCCTTACCAGCTGCCAAGTAATTAGTACAAAGTGCTGTTTGTCTCCTCAGCTGATTTCAATTCCCTAGTGAGAACACTCAGCCCCTCGAAGAATTAGGCCCTACGTAATTTCTGATCGCATCCTTGGCTTCTCTGTAGTTCTGGGCTTTAGCTGTTAGCCCAGTTGAGATGGTGGAATGGCAAGAAGTTTTGTATGTAATGTAAACTGCACCAGTTGACATTGCCTGCACTTGTGCTAAGACAGGACTCTTCAGAGCTGCAAGTAATTGCCTTGAGTGAGTTTTGAGCAGTCTGTGTCTGTTCTTTCAAAGTTTGCAGTGATACCAATTAAGGAACAGCAGCTGTAGTTCAGTACTGGGTTGGAAATCCTTAGAGGTATGATAGGTTCTAACAAAATGAATGTCACTTTGGCTTAGGGATTCTTTAACTTCAAAATGGTACATTGAAAGTAATAAGGAAAACAATAGAGAAACCAGTAGCATTCAGCTAGAATATTCTTTACTGCTTTTTGCTTGCACTGATTACCCTATAATCAGATAGCTCTGTGATTGAATTTACATTCTGTTTAAGACAGTTTGACTAGCTTAATTACTTTTCTCTACTTTCACATACAGATCAACTTGACATAATTTCAATGGCTGAAACAACAATGATGCCTGAGGAAATTGAGCTTGAGATGGCAAAGATCCAGAGACTTCGGGAAGTCTTAGTCAGAAGAGAATCAGAACTCAGGTTTATGTAAGTATCAATACTTCTGGGAAAACACTATGCAAAATAATTAAAATAGGAAAGAATGCTATTTAGAAGACTTCTATCAGCTTGACATTTAAAAGGAAGAAAGATAAAGAGCATTCCAGTTAGGTGAGCGCTCGCAGAATGCCATTGAGAAAATACTTTTGTAGTTGCAAAGGAAATGACCTTTTTTTATTCAGCATGATTTGCAGAAGACATAACAGGGATCTATTACTTAGAGAAGGAAACTTTAGCAAAGTATGTGTCCACAGAGCATATTTTTTACCTGACTTCAGTCCTTTGTGGGAAGAATATTTGTCTGAAGAAAATATCAACAGGTAGGGGATGTGGAGCTTCCACAGCCTAACCTAATTCAAGCTTTATTCCTCACTTTATTAGTGGTCTTAAACAGTTCATGTCACAAGAGATAACACTGTGTTCTGGACTAATACCAGCCAAGATCTGACATTTGTTAAAGACTGAAAGACCAGAAATTTGTAAGTGAAGGCCACAAATACCTGTGCAGTTTCAGTACCTGTGATTTTTCTCTCCTTTGTACTGCTCTGTAGTCCTTTGTATACTCTTTTGTCTCTGCTTTGCTGATAGAAGTGGAAATTCCTTACTGCTGTACTAAACGTAATGTGAGACCTCATTTCAGTAATAAAAAAACTAAAGCTCTTAAAGACAAAGATACATTTAAACAGTGTAACCTTGTGGAACTCTGAAGTGGAGCAAAAACATAGAACACAGAGAAACACCAATGGACACCTCTGACTTTTGAATTTGTGAGGCTTCTTTATGGCAAAACACAGCTTTTTAATTTTACTGAATGAAGCTCAATAAAATTAGACATGTGACAGCGTGTTCTTAACTTGTCCTCTGAAATTTTTTATTTGAAAATCAAGGGAAGTTGAACTCCTGCCTCTATTTAACAGTTTCCATGCTGTATACCACAGTGAAATAGTTAATCTTGTAGCGTATACTTTAAAAGGGGCCAGCTTTCTGATAATTCTTGTTTTTCTTTTTTGTGATAAAATAAAGCAAGCAAAATCAGCTGAAGCAATCAATTAACAGGTCAGGATGTTTTTCAGACCTTGGAGCAAATTGCAAGTCAGGTATTAGCTTTTGTAAGCCTGTCCTGTGCTTTGCTCCATGCTGTTATTTCCTCCTTTAAAAAGAAAAGGAGGACAGCTGAAGACAGCTGTACTCAGAAGTCCATGCTATTTCCAGCAGAATACCTACTCGCTATGAAGAATTACCTGAAGTTTATGTGGAACCAATTTTCAGATTATAAAATCAAGCCTTCCTCGATTAGGTAATGCCACAATTTCTGTTGTGCAATAACATTTCAGTTCAGGCAACCACAGTCACATCAAAGAAGATGCACTGTGATTTGCTCTGTAATTTCATTATCAAATCCTATTTTTGTCCCAAGACCCTGGCTCACTTAATGCCCAGGGTGGACCTCCCCAGAATATGCCAAGGTTGTGTACCAATTGTGGCTGTTTGTAATGTCTCCTTCTATGCTACTAATACTGTGAAATTTCATAAAACTAACCCAGGAGTATGTTGTCATCATCTCCAACCAGTCCAGGAAATAAAAATATAGCTTAAAGGCATTGTATGCTGTCTCCAGGTCTTTTGGGTTTATTTTCAGAAAAGCTGAGGACTCAGCACATATTGATATGAAGGAAACAGTATGTACAGAAAAGCATCAGTTTATAGCTAGCCATCATTCCCCCTCATTCGCTTCTCAGGCTTCTCTCAGCTCATTTCTTAAAATGTTCTCTATAAAAAGAGTTTTTGGGTCAAACTGTAAATTCTCAGTCTGTCTTTGCTGTTAAGAAAAGCAAGCATACCACTTCAGAACATGCACACACTCTTTCCCTTTTTAATTTTCCTGTACCACTTCTGTTTTCTCTTTCCTAGTGAGATAACAGACTCAAAAGCTGAGGGAGCTGCTCAGGCAGTGTCCTCTTCATTGCACATTCAATGTGTTGCTGCTATGGATACTTGTGTGTGGCTTCAGAAGCAGTTTAGGATTCATGTCACTGGGGAGCACAGAAACCTACCGTGTTGAAGGACACAATTGTAAAAATGGATCGTGTGTGTGTTAGCTCAGTTTCGCTGACAGAGAAGACAGGCAGCAAAACCCTCACATCTCTCTCTGATATGGAAAAAGATCAAAACTGAACTTCAAAATAATTTGTAGTGCAAAATTCATGCATCTTAAAACCCATTAGCATATTCTGACCTAGTAAATATTAATAGTATAGGTGAGATCTTACTACCTACAGTTACTGCCTATGCCTGTGAATAGAAAAGGCCTGGAGTTCTTATAAAACAGCATTCACATGAAACATGCCTCTTGCGAAATCGGCCACTGCCTGGTACTGCTGGCTTTCCAGATGGAAGCAAGACTTGAAGCCAGCTTTATTGGTTGACCTTGAACTAAAACTGTGGAGGTTGCTGCCACCTGTGATAGCTGTCGTGGGAGTGGTTATTTCTGCCACATAGGTGATGCTGAATGGTAATTTTTTAATGTATAGGTAAGCCCTATTACGTTGCTTTAGGCAATTACTGAAAACAGTTTTACTTACCTCTTTAAACTTGTTTTATCTGTAAAAACATTATTAATGTAACACAGAGTATTTGCTTAATGTCTGTCTGGTTATTAAATTGCTAAACTAATACTGTGAAAAAGCCAAATTCACCTCCGCATTGGTTTAGCAGAATTAAAGTTGGTCGTTGTCTTTGCATGCTCTCAGAACGCACTCTCAGATGACTCCCTCTTCTCCAGAATGCTCATACTACCTACAGAATGCAAATTCTCCATAGATCCATTCAGGTATTTAGACCATTTTACACTATTATGTTTGCTTACTTGTAATCCCAGGAACAATGACCTTGACTTTGCTCTGGTAATATACCGGCAGTCCCACAGCTTCATTCACTGTCCAGAGTACATAATTCATTCCTGGTTTTGGGTTTTTTTTTCCTTGCTTCCAATCAGGCTTACTTTTTCTTTACTTGCCTTTTTAATCTTTATCCTTTACCCACTTTGCAAAAAAAGCCATAAATCTCTCTTTTGCTATTGTGACATTGATGTACCCGTTACTAGTAGTAGTAGAGGTGGGATAGTCAGTAATGGTCATTCTGTAGGGTATTAGACATAAATGGTAGAATCTCAAATTCAGAGCAGATTCATCATGGAGAACAATTTGTGGTCCATATTCCTTCTAAGGACAATAGCACATTAACAGATGCCAGATAGGATTCTCACCTTATGCTTTTTGCGGTGTGCACAGCACACTGGTGTTTTCAAGTACAAGAAGCTATGTCTGCTGATTGCCTGACTTTATGCAACCACTGCAAAGTGAAGTAAAATCAAGCTACACAAGAACTGCAGAAGCGAGAGGCTAATTCCTTTGGTGATGATAACCTTCAATAAACCAACTTAGAAAACTGTGTTTTAATTTAGCATGAGTGCAGTAAATCGAGTGTACTCATGCAAAGTTGGAACATGAAAGAAACAGTCTCTCATTACTGGCTGAACTCTAAAGGTAATCCTGTACTACGGGGGCTGCTTACACGTTACGTGTTGGATGTGGCACTTCAGGACATGGTTCAGTGGGCATGGTGCTGTTGGGTTGGACTTGATGATCTTACGGGTCTCTTCCAACCTTAATGATTCTCTGATTCTTTTTCAATTCTGGAGTGAGAAGAGGCTGGAATGATTGCTGTCTTTTGTATGAAGGAAGTTCACTTCAAATTATAATTACTTTTTCAACCAAATAATTTATCTCTGTTTCTAGTGACTCACTAATGTAGCATTAACTGCGACTTCTCAGGAGCTTAGTGCCACATGTGGCAACAGTGATGCACACTGAGCATCACTCTGGGTAAGGGTGAGAGGGAAGGAGCGTGTAAAGAGATAAACAGGCTGTCGGGTGTGCATAGCAGTGGTAACTCACTGGTTATGTATTGCCAAGCAGGTGTTCTGACTTCTGCTTTCTTGGCCAGTTTGGACCACAGAACCACGTATTGCGGCTGAGTCACTGTGCCAGGTTACTGCAGACTCTTCTGACCCACTTATATTCCTGTCATTTTGTGACATGTTTAGAAAATCTTTTCCAACAGGCATCTGAAATAATTTGACAGATATGACGTACACACAAATTGTAACCCAGTAAGATGAGTAATCAAGGGCTCAGCAGGCATTTATTGTTAAATACCTTTTGCTCTCCGTTAAAATTGGTGAATGAACAGTATCAGCATCCCAAGGTTAAACCCCAGCATCTCAAACTAGATGCACAGGTCCCAGGCAAGGGACAGTATCATAGATTCAGATGAGATCTGGCCGATCCCATCAACACAGGATGGAGTTTGCCTATCTCTCATCATGGTTTTTCTGTTTCTGCAGGATGGATGACATCCAGCTGTGCAAAGATATTATGAACCTGAAGAAAGAACTGCAGAATTTGGTAGCAATCCCAGGTAATGGCTGTCTCCAACCCAACGTTAGGTGATGTACAGGTCGGGATGATGTCAGGAACACGCCTCTGCCATTAACAATCAGAAATCTTTCCCCACAGTTCAGTTTCATATCTCTTTCTTCAAGTGCATATTTTTTTCTTCCCATTTTCCCTCCCCATCTTTAATCTCCTGGTCTCTAAATTTCTTTTACTGCTATATTTCACTGCACCCTTGGTAGTAACCCTGCAAGTATCGCGCAAACAAGGTGCACATTTCTTGGTTCTTACACTCCCTTGGCAGTATCAAGGGACCCAAGTGACACAGAGATTGTCAGGTCGCAAAGACAGAGTGCTGAGATACCAGAGATAAAAGGGAGAGCGGGACTTATAATCATCACTGGGAACATTATTTTTTCCCCTAGATATAGCAGCTCATTGTCACACCTCTAATTAAATCTGCCTTATAGAATAAAGTAAAATGGGCTTCTACAAAAAGCAAGGGGTGCAAGTCTGCTTTGTGTTTTGCCATAATTCTCTGCAAATTCACTGCTCTGAGGAGGGACAGTTGTGGGCAGTTTTGCAGTCCCTAATACTAAATTCCAGCTGAAATCAGTAAGGAATTTTGCTTCACTACAGCTTTGCTGTTTCAGAGCATCCACAACAACCCTACTCTGTTCGAGAAAAAAGTAGTCAGGTCCTGAAAAACAAACTGCAATGGGCCATTTCCACTGGGTATTACTGCATGGCCTCTAGCACCCTGCAGAAAGAACTTGCTGCTGCCTAACTATTAAGGACAAGATTTGACACTTGTTTGGTTATCCTAATTTCTGTCCCGTCCCTGCACACCCCTCCCCCCCTCCCTGTCCCATTTTCTTGTGCAACTTTAAAGGATAACTTTCTCACCTGGAAGGACAGACAAGGTCACTTGTGGAGTAGGAAACAAGGATCTTCTCTGAGGCCACACATTCTTTGTTGTGTAAGAACTTTCCCACTTTGCATCCAACAAAAGTGTATTTGTAATCTTTCTTACTTTTTCTTTCTTTATAATTCTTAGTTACTCATGGTCACATTTTTAATTTCTAATAACATTGGTGATTTAAATGGTATTGGAAAGGATTGTGAAGGGTTATTGTGGTTGACACCCTGGAAGGAAGGGATGCCATCCAGAGGGACCTGGACAGGCCGGAGAGGCGGGCCCGTGCCAACCTCATGGAGTTCAACAAGGCCAAGTGCAAGGTCCTGCACCGGGGTAGGGGCAATCCCAAGCACAAACCCAGGCTGGGCAGAGAATGGCTCAGAGCAGTCCTGAGGAGAAGGACTTGGGGGTGTCGGTCAATGAAAAACGCAACATGAGCCAGCAATGTGCATCTGCAGCCCAGAAGGCAACCACATCCTGGGCTGCGTCACAAGAAGTGTGGCCAGCAGGGCCAGGAGGTGATTCTGCCCCTCTGCTCTGCTCTGGTGACACCCCCCTGGAGCCCTGCATCCAGTTCTGGGTCCCCAACATAGCAAGGACATGGAGCTGTTGGAGCAGGTCCAGAGGAGGCCACGAAGATGATCAGGGGCTGGAGCTCCTCCCCTACGAGGACGGACTGAGAGAGTTGGGGCTGTTCAGCCTGGAGAAGAGAAGGCTCTGGGGGGACCTTATTGCAGCCTTCCAGTTCCTGAAAGGGTCCTACAGGAAAGCTGGGGAGGGACTTTTTACAATGGCAGGTAGCAATAGAAAAAGGGAGAATGTTTTTTTTTTAAGCTGGAAGAGGGTAGATTTAGACTGGCTATCAGGAAGAAATTCTTTACTGTGAGGGTGGTGAGACACTGGCACAGGTTGCCCAGGGAAGCTGTGGATGTCCCCTCCCTGGAAGTGTTCAAGGCCAGGTTGGACGGGGCTTTGGGCAGCCTGGTCTGGTGGAGGTGTCCCTGCCCATGGCAGGGGGTGGGCTGGGGGAGCCTTAAGGTCCCTTCCAACCCAAACCATTCTGTGGTTCTATGAATCCTATAAAATATCTATGAATGATTCCCCTTGCCTCACCTCTTCTAGCCTGCAGCTTTCTTACCTATGCTTTTAACTTACACTTAAGGTTGATCAGTATTCATGTTTTTTGGTGGGCTTTTTTAAAAAAAAACCAACCTTTTAGAAATTATTTTCGAGTCACAAGGTCTTAAGCAGAGATCCACAGGCAGCAGTTTCTCCTTAGCACTTTGCACGTCTCAGCAAACTTAAGAATGAAGTCTGCGTGGTTGCACCAGCACCACCTTTTGGCAGACTCACAAGAATACTTTTGTCTTAACAACAACAAAGCAGCTGCTAGCACTCAGACCTAAGTGCTGACAGAGCATGTGCAAAACTTAACGAAACACCTTTTGGAAATAGGTTCATTCATAACATCTTTTACCATAATTCTCCTTTTAGTATACAGATTTGTATAGAGACCGACCTGCTCTTTCATTTAACAGACACTGTTCAGCCAATTTCAGCAGACATGGGATCAGTCTTTCAGGACACAGACTACGCAGTACTTTGCCACAGTTCAGGTTGCACGTATTTGGCAGACAGTTTCCTGGAGGATACCACGGGAGACCACATCTCAACCTGGGAAGAGGATAGATTGAAAGGAAGTAGAAAGTAGCTCCTATCTTCAGTAGCGAGAGGAGGAGATCCTTTGCTTCTTGGACAGAAGAGGCAAATAAAGAAAAAGCAGTGATTTGTAAGCATTCTCCTTTTTTCTCTGCTGCAAATTCAGCATTAATCACAGGAGTTCTCCACAGGTAACAATGTAGAGGTATTGAAATCTTCATAGCAGTCAATAACCACCTTCCTTTCTCATTTCTTAAAGATGTAACCCAGAAAATACATCCCAGACAAAGCAGCTTTATGTTATATTACAAATTATTTCCTCTGCTACTGACAAACCATAATTTAAAATTCTCCAAGGAATATGACTTCCTGAGCTTGAGACTTACAGAATTTTATTGTCTTGAAAATATATCCAAGGTGCTTTTATCTCACTTACCAAGGACTAGATTTACTGCAGAAATTCCCAGCAGTAAGCATCCTGAAGCCCATGATCCAAAATGAAGTTGTATTAAGTGCCTGTTTTCAAATGTCTGATTTATTTAGCTGTTTAAAATGCCTTGCAAGTTCAATCAGCAAACATACCACAGGTTAGATGCATCAGATTGCTTCTTCCCACTCGTCTTACTGTACTTAATTTTATGGTTCTCTAAATGCAGCTCTGCTGCTCCAAATCAGGATTTACTGTGAAGTGTCTTCTCGGCTGATCAAAATTTTCAGCTTCTTCTGTGTCTTTCACGTTGCAAAAATTATAGTTTATAGACAACCTTGTCGTTACAGACTGGCCAGTTAATAAGAATATATATTAATTACTCAGATTTTTGAAGCACTGGGAAAATGAACACTTTCATTTATTAATTCACATTTTACAGTCATGTGGATTTGCAGCTCACGTCACTTACCAGAGTAGAAAAAAGTGGTGTAGTCGACAGCCAAAGCTGTCATAAAACACAGAGAAGTGACCCTGAGAACAAAGGGAGTTTGCGCCATGGATTTTAATGGAGCACCCTGGGCTGTTTTCTTACCAAAGCTCTTTGAAAATTCAAAGCAGTGTCTTGCAGAGTAATTTAATGTTAAAACTATGCTTGTCAAGCCCCACAGTCTCCAGACATTTAAGCTGATCAGACACAACAGCAGCAAGTGGAAGAGAGAAAAGAGGCAGTGACCAGAATTTGCTGGGTTTTGGTGGCTCAGGTCTGAAGAACCATTGACTCCAACCAGCAGTTCATTCTCAGGCATCTGCAGCGTCCACCCCACACCCTGGAATCCAAAGTAATAGTCTCTCTCTTCTGTTTTTGACCAGAAAAAGAAAAAACAAAGATGGAGAAACAAAGAGAGGATGAGTTGATTCAGAAGATCCATAGGCTGGTCCAAAAAAGAGATTTTCTGGTAGATGATGCTGAGGTGGAGAGATTACGGTAAGAACTAAAAGCAACTGAACTTGTTAATGAGATTTCACAAGTCTGATACTACACTGGAGCGAGATACATTGACATTAATGGGAGAGAATTGGTTCCTTTAAAACAACTTATCAAGTTAAAAGCCTCCTCCCTCCATAGGAAAAGCATTAAAACTAGATTACTGGACTTCCGTGGCTCTTTATCCCATTGATGATTCAGTCATCTCCTGACTACAACCAGGAAGTAGCTGGGCATTTACCATTAAAGAGAGTAACTTTTGCTGCTATCAGAGGATCCTCTTGACATAAGAAGTAGACACAAGGAGCATATTTATAGGTATCTAAAATCTGCCTTTTTTTTTTTAGCAAATTATTAATGCCATCAGCTTTATTATTACTATTCTCAATCTGCCATGGCAGGGGAAAAAAAAAAAAAGAGTGCAGTCACCCTATGTAAGCTAAACCATAAGCAAGTTCAGAATGGTTTCATCTCAGTATCTTAGCCCAAAGTTGCTGAGAAACCTGTGGTCTTCCTCAGAAGTTCATTCCCAGCTGTTGCACTGACATCCCAACACTCTGCAAATAGAGTCTTGCTGTTACCTGCCCTGTCTCTGTCAACAGTAAAGATGCAAGGCTTGTAAATCCATTGATCATAAATGCCAGTCCCTCTTTGAACACATGTAAATTCTAAGTAAGCCAAGGGCAGGAGAGAAGAAAGCTCTTCTGCCAGAGTCCTGCTGCTGATCAGAGAGCAGGCCAAAGCAGCGGCTGACAAGAAGCCTGAGCTATCGGCTTGTCCAGAAAGTAACTGTGTTGTTTTTTTCCTTAATAGATAGACATATATGTCTTGAAATGTAACTAATTTCATTTTAAGCCCCAAATTCAAGCTTGCTTTAGAGAAAGGAAGTGCATGATTTCATTAACAATTATTTATTTGGCATCCATTTCAAAATGGAAAATCAAAAGGAACATTTTAATCGTGTCTTGCTGTATTACTTCAGAAAAGGAAAAAACACTCTGCAAGCTCTTAAGAAGTTACGTGATCTGTGTGGTGAAGATGCCTTATGGCAGTGTCAGAACTGGTTTGTAAATTCTGGGCCAGAGATTGACATTAAAGATGCACCACGCTCAGGAAGGCCAGTCGAAGTTGTTAACAACAAAATGAAGTCATTGATCGAATCCAATCAGCGTTTAACGACATGAGAGATTTCTGATAACATTAGCACTTAATTCCTTAGTAGTGATTTGATCCTAGGTACTCTCGCTTTTGCTGTCCCATTTACAGAGAAAACCTTGTTTCTGTAATGGGTTTTTTTCCCTTTTTTTCCACCAGAGAGAGAGAAGAAGACAAAGAGATGGCTGAATTCCTTCGCACCAAGTTAAAACCCTTAGACAAAGCAACACAATCACCTACCAGTGAGTTCCTAGACATTAAGAAAAACAAGTACAATAGGAAAAACTGCAAAGATAACTGGATAAAAGAACATTTTCAAATGCCATGCTGGGCCAGCCTCTGCCAGAAGTTAGGTTAATATATCTAGATCTCTCTAAAACAAGATAGTGTGTCAGCAATTGCTGGCCACTTTGAATTCAGATGCCCTATTACCCCCTTAAACTTAATCCAAGTCATCTATGGCCACATGTTTTAAACATACAAAGTATATTTGAATACGCGTATTTCCACAGCCTGCTTTTGTAAGCAACTAGATTTATTTTTGCTAGTAATTTTCCCATCCAGTTCTATAAAAATAACTGGAAAAAACTCTTTAGTCCTATGCTTAGATACCTGAAGCAAAGTTTGCCTGTTTTACTGCAGGCAAGATGGAAGCTAGAGAAAAGACTGCAGACTTCCACAGCTGCCTTACATCTTACCGACAGAAACAGGCATTTCCATCACCTCCACCCAGATCCCTTGCGGACAGAGCTGCAAACACTCAGAAACTAAGTGGATTACATGATCCCTTGGAAGCTCCTAGCTGCAACTTTCAAACAAAACAATCACAGCATGAGCTCTAAAAGTTACCATTGCTTTTGACCTGTGTCAGCCTGAGCTCTTAGGCAGGGAAATGGTCAAATGAAAGTGGCACCCTTCTTAGAAAGTGAATTTGATCCACCAGCTGAAGAGGTTTGTGTCCAAGCACACCACCATTTTGCACAGACCAAGCTCTCACTATAGAGTTTCCAGTGGGATTTGGAATGGCTGTGAAGTTCAAGTACAAGGTTGATAGAGACATTTTTAAGATGCATCACTAGTTATTTATACCCTTTTAGTCACAGGGAGCATGACTTATCTCCTTTACTAGTTTACTTCACATCACTGGTTTTAAATGCAGTGTTAGAGATAAAAAAGGTTCTTTTCACCCTGAAAAATTAAAGCCTACCTTTATCTTGTTCTAATCATGACATCCCAAGTTCATGAGAGAATAAACTCTGGCAGTATTAGTGTTCTTCAACCCCTCAGTGGTTTGGGTTTGAACACCATAAGATGACTTTCTGTGAAAGGACCTGTTACCTGAGGCTATGGCTGTGAGCAGGGACACCTGGATGGAACAAGATGCAAGAAGTTTACCCTCCCATTGATGTCTGGATTCTTTAGCCCCTCCTAACTCCCTCCCCTGAAGAGATAAGACTTGCCGAGCAGTTTCAGTTTGAGTGCAGATACCAGATTGGTTACTATCAAAGCGTTAGATGTATTGTTCAAACAGGAGTTTAGAAATTCAGGGGGTAGAGGGCAGGAAAGGCTGCGTTCTTTAAGCCAGAAGTAGGAAGAAGTAGTTTGACCAGCTCTGGGTTTTAATGGTGTACTGCTTTGAACATTGCAGGCAGCCCAGCCGAAAAGAAGGCAGAACCTCCTCCAAGCAAGCCCACCATTACCAAAGCAGGATTGGCTATCATTAAAGATTGCTGTGGGGCCGCACAATGCAGCATCATGTAGCTCTGGGCTCTCTACTGTGTGTGCCGTTTCGGAAGTTTTCATTGAATGAAACTGTACAGTTAGAGAACGAACAACATCCTGCTAACAGAATCAAGAGCAACTGGCACAGCAGTAATATATGGAATGTACAACGGCAAGGTCTTCACTGTTGCATGGATCACTCAACACGCATGCCTAAAAACAAAAGAAGTCTACGTAGTGGTTGTCCAGTGACCAGACATGATCTCTAGTAGAGTCGACAAAAACACCTCAGCTATAGAAGTGAAAAGAGGGTGTATTTCATCCAACAAGGTGTAAAACAGCAACTCTAATAGGCCACCACTTTGTAAGAATTTGTTGTACACTTTCCCCCCCTGACAAACAGCCGTCAGAAGTTGCTGAAGTGTCCTGTTTGGGCTACTTTTCAAAGCAGAAGCCAGAACTAGCAGTGCTGTATATAGTGCAACTGATAGATGAAGCAACTTTAGGATAACTAATGTTGCATAAAAATACTTAAACTAGTGTGATGTTCAACTACTTTGCTGTGGAGTTTCACTTCCAATTCTTTTTAAAGAATGGGGATCAGTGACAAGGATGCTGCAAGTAGAGACAGATTTTTATATCCTATATGATTCCTGAATTACTCAAATCAATATTGCTTGCAGCAAGGAAAGTAAGGTTCTGGTAGAGCTTTAGCAAGCACAGATCCAGTAATCTGCAGATAGATGATATAAAGTCCAAAGGTGTGTCACTTCTCTTTTAGATCTCCACCTTATATGAAGTCAGAGGAATATTCACCCAGAGTTTTGCCCACTATTAGAAGTTACATGCAATATGAAATCGTGTATCACTGGTAGGTTGATAGGAGGAGAGCAGAAGACAAACAAAATTTAGTATTTAAACAATACTTAAAACAACTATTAATTGCATATTCCGTGGCCATAAGAAATATAAACCAGCAAGCATAGGAAGACACTTGCCACTCAAGACAAACAATTACAAGAAGTATATACAGAAGTAGATACTTGTGGTAGGAAGATCACATTCTACACAAAATGGGTTTGAAATTAAAGGAAATACAGAAAGACTCATCTCTGTTTCACCATTAAATGTGTTTCTGGTTTCTATGCAGATTAAGCCTTGTGGAATCAGTATATTTATATTAGCTATCAGTAGCTGGTTTGTCTGTATGATGGTATTCCATATAAATGTACTATGATAGGTGTAAATAGCAGAATAAATGTACATGGATCTAATGTGAAAAATCTCAGACTTAGAAATAACAAACGGCAGAAAGTTCCTAAAATAGTTTTTCAAGAGGCACTTCCATTTTGTGAAGATAAAGTCAAGTGTGCACTTATATACAAAGGAACCACAGTGATGGGAAAGAACTAAAAAAATAAACAGCTCATGTCCAAAAAGGATAACGCAGTAATACTTTTCAGAGCGAGAAAGTATCTTATTAAGGTTCAAGGAGATAGAGATCATCTAAAGTGATTCACACTTGTACAAATAAGACCTAATCCCTAGCATCAGACTGATTCGATAAAGAACATTTATATTTCCATAATAATTTGTTTCAGTATTGCAGACCCACTAGAGACAAAGAACCCACGTCACTAAGTTCCTTAAAGTTTAGTGATCAAGGAGGGAAAAAATACACACGAAGTTTCTACTGAGATGTGAAGCACTTTCATTACTTTGACCAAAGATGGAGGCAAGAGGACAAAACACATCCCGAAGTTGAATCGTCATATGTAGTTACTGCAGCCTTGTTGATACACCACCACATGAAGCTCTGTAGCTGCTGATAGCCACTGTACTGTGGACTCCGTACAGCCCCTGTGTGCATTAACAGAGTTCGGGTAAAACTGCTTTTACAGGAGAATACCCACTGGCTTCTGTGAAATTCAGCAGCCCCTTGCTGGTACTTGATTCAGATGTCATGAGTTACCAGTATCTTCAGAGGCAGATAGTCAGTGCCATTATCAAAGACACATGGAAGTTCAGAAAAAAAAAAAACACCCTGTAGTGAGGCACCAAATTAAAACCCTTAGGAGGATCACCTGTTATAAACAAGTATTGGGAATGCCAGCACTTCAGAGCTGGAACATCTGTGAGGGCTCCACTTGTGCCCTTTCTAACTTCGGGTTTCATTGCTTTATACTGCTACTTGTATAAAGCAACTTTTACAAAAAGCTAGTATAAGAAAAACAAAACAAGAAATTGAGGATGGGAGCCAGGCTGATGTTAAGTTCAAAGCGCTCTAGTGAAGCTACAGAGTAACTTGCTGACCAGGCCTGCAGTCCCCGCAGAGTTACCATCTCCAGCAAGCTGGAAAACAAGGCTGCTGTGACTCAGAAGTGACTTCTTCACTTTATTGCACAGTAACACTCCATATGACATAATTCACATCAATTTTAACGTTTCAAGGCAAGACTAAAGCTCAGGAGGAACACCTTAACTTCTCTATTTTTTTCTTTAGGCTGGTAAATAGTACAGTTTCTTTTTAAAATAAATTCTAAACATCATGCTGTATGAAGAGCAGTAAGAGATATCGAGTACATCTGCTAACAGCCAAACTGCAAAAACTGCGAGAACCTGCGTTCTCTAGAAGAGCAAATTGTGCATTTACGGTGTTGCTTTTGTCTTCTTCGAATCTCAAATTTCAGCTCTCTGCTGTCTGGATAATTCAACAATGTGACACAGCCAGCTAAGGATTCTATGTTAGTTTTTCAGACAAAGACAAGAGTTATGCTTGCTTGAAAATTTTATTGACAACTGTTTGGTCCCAACACACAAAACAGCACTTGAGCCACAAAAGAAAAGTGTCCAAACAAAGTAGATAGCTAAGAAAAGAATTCTTTCTTCTCCCTCCCATTCCAAGAAAAAGTGCATTAATCGAGGGTTTCAGTGACCTTTTTTTTAAGCAGACATAAATCTGAAGTAGTACATTTGATTGTTAAATTAAAGAATTTCATGGTTGTAATGCTTTCAAATCTGTAAGTCACATCATCATTTAACCCTTTAGATAAAAAAATATATTGCAATTCAAGTAGCTATTTTGTTACACTATGAACACAACTTCTCAAAAGTATTATTCTATTACTTTCAAACAGCGATTTCGTCAGAATCACACATGAACCCAGAAGAGATATGCTGACCTCCATCAATGGTATAACCACCACACCACTCATTTTGACAAACACTATTTTCCTCTGAACAAGAACCTGATTTTCTTTGGTACTCCAGATGACTTGTAGCAGCATCTCATGAAAATATGAAAAGACAATTTCAGGCTGGTCTTTCCTCCAATGCATGCTCTTCTGAAACAAAGATCTACACTAACCAGTGTTAACCTTACCAAACTTCAGGTGAAAGCAGATGTTCTTGCATTTAACTCATTAAAAAAGCATTCCAAGAAAGCTTACTTCTGAATCTCTCTTTCTATAGCAGTATGTCTGCAGAGGTTTGCTAAGGACTCAAAATGCTGTGCCGTAATGCTCAGAAAAAACTTCCAAGTATTTCTCTGCATTCACAATGGCTATAAATTCACTAGTGGTAATACCTGCCTAAATTTAAAAGATTTTATAACAAAATCTGACTAGTAAAATTCTGTCTATAGCCATTATTCAGTGTCATTTCCTGTTGCTGGCTAAGAAATTAGAGCCCACGTTCCATCTCTTGTCTATTACCACAGAATCCACCTAAAAATACTCAGCTTGCCAGTGGAAAACCTCTAGTATAAGCTCTTTCACTACTACAAGCAATTGATCTGCTGCCTGGCAAATACAACCCATTGTAAATGCCATGGTTACCCAGACTGGGTATGAAGTCTCAGACACTGAACGTTTCTGCTAACTAGAGTTAAGGTTCTCCGCTGACTTCACCTCCCTCCCAGAGCTGGCCCTTTCAAAAGCCAATACAAGATAACACAAATTGAAAAAGTGTCCAACCCTTGGAATAAGTTTCAGAATAAAAACAGACACAGCTAAAAGACAGCACATTAAAGAATAAGCCTCCTATTTACTGAACATGCTTAAAAATGGAGAACAAGGTTAAGCAGAACAACCTTAGCATTTCCACATGTAGTTAGAACTTTACTGACAGGTGGAAATAGCATCAATATCTCCCATCACGAAACATTTTAATAAGACCTGCTCCACTATCTGTAATTTATGCATTAAATGCATATTTCAGAGTATCAGAATCTTCCTGACTTCTAGACACCGTAAAACGTGTGTGTCTGTATACAAAGCTCACGACACCAAGACAGTCTTTTCCTTAACCAAATCCATGCCACACTGAAACTAAATATAAAAGGGAAGCTTAACGCATTGATGTCCTAGGAAGCTCCTAAATGGAACTGAAAGCTACAGAAAACATTTAAAACAAGTTTTACCAAAAAAAATCCACATAATCTTCTACAGACATCTTTTGACAAAAGAGTGTCCAATACTGTTACAAGTCATCTGAAATGTCAGAGAACAAGTTTCTCCTCTGGAGTACCACCAACTCTCTCTACTCTTTTCATTTCAGGTCAGCAAGTTAAAATTTCTCAACAGGCTTTTGAAAGACAGATCATGCATTTTATTAATACTGTCTGAAACAATACCAGTAAGCAACAGCCTATAGAATACAATGTGCTACACATATGATTACATCACCACCGAGGCTTAAAGTAAATAAAATTTTCATTTGAGTTGAATTCGTATTTTGCTTTTACTGAACACTTATTTATGAAAAAACTGTAAAATTTAATAATTTAATGAATGCCAGATTATTTTTTTTCAAAATAATAGAAAAAATCTGCTTTGCTCACAGCTGTGTTCAGTGTAAAAGGAACAAAATCTTCACAGAATACATTAAATACAAATTAATTCTTCTAGGCCTTTCATTAAAATATATAAGGGCTAGCAAATAGCTTTACTTTGTGCAGAGTCCATAGGTATTTGTCTTTCACACTAAAAAGAAAGTTAAAGCTTGGTTACAGGTGCAAGTGAAAAGTTTGCTGCCAATTTCACCTTGTTTTTGTGTTGCTTTTTGGCTGGGCTGTCCATTGCTTCCTTGTTTAGTTGGGTTTCAGAGGACTGGCAGGGAGGCACTGAAGCATTTT